GATACTGCGTTTACAGGAGTCAACTTATTTTATTCACAAAAATAACACTAATATAATGTGAATTTCATTAGTTTGGACTTCCATTGTATGATATTATATAAAATGATGTGAAATCCCTGAAAGAACTAAAAAAGAAGAAATTGAAAATTAAAGAAGGAGTATAAAAATAAATAGCTCAAAAAAAAACAATTAAATTAAGCAAAAAACCTGAAGTTAAATAATAGTGAAATAAAATACAAGTAAAAATGGAACAAATTGAACAAAAATAAAATCAAAAAGTTGAGAGATTCCAAGCCAAGTTAATTCACGACGTTTCGATTATTGGTATCCACAATCGTCTTCGGGTGATGACTGGACCGATTCCTCCATGAGCTGACTATTTATAGGTCATTTGAGTACTTTCACTTATCTGCTTTCCTTTTTCCGCTTCACCGGGACCAAAAATTAACAAAAAACTGCCTTTGGCATTACAGTCGTAAATTGGCTGTAAACTAGTGTAATATTAGAATATTCTGTTAAGACCTGATCGGATCATTTGAAGCGTCTTTAAAAGAATGAATTCAAAATATGTACTGCAATATTTTAACTCATAGTTTATTCATATGGACTGTTGAGTAAAATATTTGCAAATTAGCATTTACCCAAGAACTGATCCCACTAATCTCAAAATTTCATGAATGTAATAAATTTCCAAATATGATGCTATGACTTTTGTATTTGAGCACAGCTCTTTATTCTAAACAATTTTTCTAGGTTCCATTTTGTTGTTCATTTCGAAACAACTTGGTGGGATGCCACATTGTATAGGATTCATTTTGTTACCAGATTTCCTCAATAATTACCAACTTCATTATTATGGAATAAACTCACGTGGATTAGTTAACTCTCTTCTTTGATGAAGTTGAGTTTACACCTCCGGATAAGACTATTATTATTATAGCAGAAAGCATTGATATTGAGTTCCTCGAAAGGGCAATAGTGCAGATCTCTCTAGAATAGTTTTTACTGTTAATAATTACATTTTCTGAAAGACATTGATGCTGAAAATGCATTTCTGTTCTAGTTTTCAGTTTCGAAACTGCACTTTCCTTCTTGTTCATTTGTACTGTACTTCAGTTATTGCCTAATTAGGGGGGAATTAACAGAAAACAAATGGCGGAACCGCTTTTAATTCCGTCTAAATTGTCTCCGGTATAATTACAGTTAACTAACTGGAAATTTTATTGTCTTGTTTGGCTTGTGATGCTGCTGTTATCTTTCTGAACGAACACTGAGTAAACCTTGGATTGTTTACGATATATAAAGTCAGTGATTCGATCCGGTGAACAAGCGATTTTTCTAAAAATGGTCATAATAAATTCGTGAGGTTGCAGTCAATAGCTGGGCTGTTACAAAGAAAACTCTTTGTTATATGTCAAGCTTTCGGTATATTTCACACCTTCGTCAGGACAATAACGTGAGAATAAAATATAAAATGGTTCAAAAACAGATAGAAAAACATTAATAAATGACAGTTAATAAAAATTTTGGCTGACAATTGTCAGCCAATGGTCGTTGACCCATCTTTCAACTTGCAACTGTTATCCAACACATGACCCTCTTACCGACATAATTTATTCGAAGAAATCTTGAAAATATGAAAATATTTGTGACTCTGTCTGGGGTATAGAAAATTTTCATTCATAAAATCTTTGAAAAAGTATACCTATTGCATCTGTAACTCCACCTAAATTTCAAACATTTACAGATGTCAAGTTTTCAATAAATTGGCATAAAAGGAATTTGTTCAAATAAAACTCATTTTTCAGGTGAGAGAAATACCATTGAAATAAAGAAGGAACCTAAATATCATTCGAAGCAATTTTGGGTTTATTCAATTCAAATAATTTGGAAACATTACAACTTTATGAATCTATATTTTCAATTTCTTTTTCGTTAGAAACTATATATTTTAAAACGAAATGTCAGTTCAATGAATAATGTTTGACAGTTGAGAAAATATTTTGAAGTATGAATGTTTCAAGGCTTACTTGCGATTAAAATTGATCGAAACACTGAGTGGATCGCTCCTTCGAAAGTGCTATTTGCAAACGTTGCAGACAAAAAAAATAATTACTGGAATTCAGTGCAGAAAATGTAAAAGTGTGTTCCATATTAGCTGTGCTAAGTATATTGAAACATGACATTTTAGGAAAATGACACGTATGTATTTCGCTGTGACTGCATCTTATACATATGTCATTAAACAAAAAGACGCGTTGATAGACGTATTATGTGATCGAATTGTGCTGCTAAATAAAAAAATTGATACTCTAACTCATCGAAATAACCAACAGTGGATAAAAAATTATGAAAACAGCGCCCAAAATATTCAAAATAAATATCACGATGTCATTTTTTTGAATGCCTAATCTATGACAAATTTCATCTGTTTAGCAGAAACTCACTCTATATCAAAATCTGTAGATAATAGAATTATTGATAATTACTGTTCAATTAGCCTTTTTTTGTTTTTTACCACTCTTATTTGTAACTATCGTTACTGCAGTTTCGTCCTATAAGAACATTTTCAAACTTTTACATTAGACATTACATTAAACTTACGTAAACAGTTTTTTGCAGAAAATGGATCAACATCCTGTTAAACTGAGTTGATTTCTAATACCGATGTCATTCTTTTGAATGCTCAATAATCTCTCAACGTTGAGTCTTTGCATTACTGTACATTAATGTAAAAGTTTGAAAATTATAGGACGAAATTGCGGTAAAGATAGTTACAAATGAAAGTGGTAAAAACATAGAAATTTTCATTTCTTATTTTTTTATGATGATCTCCTACCACGTAGTATTGGCAACATCCATTAATTTATTGTTTAATTAGCTATTTTTGGAGAAAAATGTTTGAACGTGGCGGTGTTGCTCTTTACGCAAGGAAAGAACTCGCTTGCTCTAGTAGGTATATATTTAAGTAAATACTGTTGAGAAAAGGTTTGTGATTTGATTTGTACAAATTATTTCATGAATATGAGTGTTGTGGTAATTTCTTGATATACAGGGCTATTCAAATTTGTTTCTGTACATGGAGATCTCGTAAACGATAAGAGATAGAGTGTCGGTTAAATTGTGACAAAGTTGTGTAGTTCAGAGACCTATTCAATGATGTGAAGAAATCGAATATAGCTCTTTTGGTTCTGGAGATATACAGAAAAAAAACAAAAAATCCCAAATTATTTTTTTGCCTATATCTTCTTTATTCGCAGACATATCGAAAATATGTCCACATTTTGCTATTGGCACTTGATGTGGGATCTCACAATATATCCATGAATCTTTTATACAAGGTGTCATCTAACTTGGGCCACCCCCAACTTTGAATTTTTAAATACGTACCTATATTTTTTGTTGTGGTTTTTGGATCGTAGACGTTCACTTCATACTGAGAAATCTAATTCAATTTTATATTTCGGGATTTTTCGGTAATATTCGATTATAATTGTGTGAATTATTCCCTTTTAAATTACGGCCCTGGAAATTGGTTGACTGAGTTGAATAAAAACATAATAGCAACTTTCACGTCTACCTATGTATCGTAGAGTTTTTCGAGAGTTTTTTTTCATTTTTAGGTACCTATTCAATTTTTTTTCAATTGCTCTGAGCGTTTTCTACAATGAACTTCGAATAAGAAAACCAGCGCACGCTGCCAGCGTAAATCCTATTTTTTAATGTCCCCCATAGAAAATAGTCCAAAATAGTAAGGTCTGGTGATCTTGCAGACCATCATATTGTCCCATTATTTGTCTCGAAATGGATGGACTCCAATTCGAACATTTATTGCACAAATAATTTTTTTGTGTATATAAATTACTTATTTCATTTCAATTTTCATTATAATTATAGTGTTCATTTCGGATGTTATTATTGCTACCATTTTTTTTTCTGTTCATCAAAACACATATAATATATTTTTGTTGTAGATATGTTTCAGATAATCATAAAAGGTTTTCTCATGTGAAGTTCATTGTAGAAAACGCTCAGAGCAATGGAAAAAATATGAAAAGGTACTTAAAAATAAAACAAATTTTTTTGAAAAACTCTACGGTACATAGGTAGATGTAAAAGTTGCTATTGTGTTTTCATTCAACTCAGTCAACCAATTTCCAGGGCCGTAATTTAAAAGGAAATAATTCACACAATTATAATCGAATATTACCGAAAAACCCGGAAATATAAAATTTAATTTAATTTCTCAATATAAAGTTAACGTCTACGATCCAAAAACTACAACAAAAATACAGGTCCGTATTTAAAAATTAAATTTGAATAGCCCTGTATATCTCCCGATGGAGATATTGATGAATTTTTCAATTACCAAAGTTTTGAAAATTTCGTTTAAACCAAACTTAGCTCTCATTTTGAACGGAGACTTCAATCTCGATGCGTCAGGTAGTGATCGCAATAATTTGCCTTTGATTCATCAGGAAAACTTGATGACATCCTTCAACTTGAACCAAGTCATCTACTCATACTCGTATAACATCGCATTTATCGACGATTATAGACCATATCTACACCAACTCAAAGAACCAGGTTATTTTCGTAATTGAAAATGATATTTTTAAACAAATACTTCTATATGAACACTGAATTATACAGAAGATACTTTTCTCTACTCAGTTTGTATTTCAAACATTCGTTGTGGAATAAAAATCAGATATCATTCACATGAGTTTTACTTTGAAAATAATATCTCAGACCATCGCACTATTTTGTTTGATTCTGGAATTAGACAAATAAACGGTTCAGCTCAAAGCGTACAGTTTCGACGCCGCGCCGCTTCAGAGATGACGATATTCAGGACTTCTGTTTGGAATTACTCAACGAATTGTTCTTCAACATTTTCAATGTTGATCTAAGATCTGGTCAATTGTGTTTTTGATTACATTTCCTGAAACCGTGATTTTTGTGTACCATTAATTTTCATTATTCTTTCTTACAGGAACGTAGTGTACAACCTGACTTTCGCTGAACTGAATGAGCAACAGAGATTGATTTGGTATTCTAACGAACACGACGCCAAGATGTGTGTAATGAAAGGAAAGGATGAGGTGAGTGAAAACTTTGAAATACGTTGATAAGGTGAAATTCAATTGACAAAAATGTTTACTGATTCGACAATGAATTGTCAATTTCTTTCAAATCGAAACCGAGGTTATTCTTTGAAATAATTATTTGAATACAAATTAACTGTTACTGAGAATTATTAAATAATTTTTCAAATCCTAAATTTGGGTAGAAATGCAATAGAATCAACGCGAACACATTGATTCAATATTCAGACTTCCTATACCTAAAAGAAAACAGGGTGTATCTTAAGGATTGGAAACAATCATTGTAGGCCACTGTTTTAAACAATTATTAAGAAAATGTATTTGAAGACAAGCTTTCATAGAAATGCACTGAATTGAACAAATAATTCCTTTAATTGTTTGATCTAGTTTACTACGTAACCTATTCAAAATCTTCCCGCGCAAAATTACCTATTTTCTATCTGCAGCAAGCCTCTTTACTCATAGAATAACCTGGATCAAACAATGAAAGAAATTATTTTTTCATTTATAGTGCATTTGTATAAGAGCTTCCTTCAAAAATGTTTTTTAAAATTTCAATTTTTTCAGGTAAAAATTGAATATGTATTGAAATAATGAATATAAATTATATACTTCTGATTTAATTACCTGTCAACCCCCAACATGATATTATAACCGAAATGACCATTTTTTATTTTTTCAAGATGTTTACAGGTGCTTCTTGTGTTTTTTTCGTAAATTTTAAAAATAATACCAAAGATAATGCTGATTGTTAACCACAATAGGTACAAGTCACTACTATCGTGAAGTTTGAAATGCATTTCGTTTATGGACTAGTAGATGGAGATGCTGCAGAGAAATGAGCATGTTATTTATTTATTTTTTCAGTATTACATATACTGTTCTCCGAATAGAATACAAATTAACTAGCAGTGTTTGAATGTATCTTCCATATACTATCCAAACAAATTTTCATATCATAGTTTGTTCAAATGGCCACAAATAAAACACATTTTTGAATTCATATGATGCGTAATTTCCATTTCTACTCCACTGACTCTGTTTAGATAAAGTTTAGCAATTGCAAATAATATCAAACAGTGGTGAACAATGATTTTTAACATAAAAATCAATCGAGTAACTGCGACACCACTGGAATTAAAACACTAAAGATAATTTCATGATAAGAAAGCCCTTGTTACTCACAATAAACACACTCAGTTTCATTGATATTGTGTTTTATTGATTTTCGATTAGATTCGATTCGAATGGATATTTGTCAAATTTAGCTGATAATAAAATTAGTGTTAGGAGCCTCTGTACAACAGACTATTTGAAAAAAGGATTTATTGTGGTGACTTTTAGGTACTTTATTGTTATGTTTATAATTATCGTTGAAGTTTTTGAAGTGTTTTTGATTATCGAAACATACTAGAAAAACAACGAAACCTGTATACTTGTATACGTGTATCTGGTAATACACATTGGCAGCTTTTGTCTAACAGATGCCTGAATATGGATCACATATTACACAAATGAATAAGCAAACACCAATTTCATGAATATATCCCAAACAATAGTGATATGTGGAAATTAATATTTGAAGGGAAACGAGCAAGTGAACAAAGACAACGATCAATGTTTAATAAATCCTGTATCGTTGGATAATATGGAACAAAAGACGGTTCAGCATGTGATATTTAACCTGCCTAGTTGCATATAATGAGTTATTTGAACTACGAAAAGAGTGTTTCCTAGAAAGTGGATAATGGAAACTGAGTTGACAATTATTTTATGGTCGATCTACATCCAGTCATTAACAATGTAAAATTCTAGGTTCAACTTATTCACTTATTGGTAATTCTTTGAAAACTTTAAATTTCATAACTTTGATCGTATTCTTCCTATCGATTTGTGGAAAATATCACCAGCAAATGTTGACTTTCATTTGACGATTGTTTTATATATTCATTCACACATAAAAAGCAATCTTGCTAAACAATACAAACAGGACGTGTTTCGAAAAATACAGCAGTTTTGTAATCTTGAAATTCAGAACAAGTAATTGATAATTAACTATTTATTTTCAACTCACCTTGATGCCTGGTTATACTCATATCAACATATTTTCAAAAAGTTCTGATAAAACAATTTCGGCGGTTATGAAACATGATAATTTTATTAATGACCAAGCAGTGATGTGGTTTGAATTTAAGATACCATTATTCGATATTTTGGAATTTTTATACAAGGTTTTCAATAACGACTATTCTGTTCATTCGAAAATGGTCATTTTCAAATGAAACACCATTTTTCATTCAAAATGTATCTTCCAGAAAATCTATGAACATGTTGTATATGTTGCTTTGCGAACAATAATTTAGAATAAAGTTTTTTTTTCATAAGCTTTTAATGGAACTTCGGTTGGAAACTCCACGGCTTGAGGGCCTGCAGTTGTTTGGACGTTACTTCAATAAAATAATGCAACTGTCCAGACAGATTGGAAAAGGCGATAGCCGCAGGTTAATATAATCCTAAAATTGTGAAAATGTCAATCTTTTCTGCCCTTAGTGCCAGTAAATGTTTGGCAATATCTCTTTTCATTATTTTTTCATACCCTATTGCCCATTCAAACGACAAGGGAAACATTTTCATTATTGTAAAATTTCAAACTTTTCTTGAATGTATACGGTCTGAGCTTGGTACCCGTATGTTGTGGAACCCTGCTAATGTATTTTCTATACAAGTAGTGGGTTTTTCCAAATGCCCATTTATAATATGTTGAAGGTGCAGGCCCAGCCAGACGCTTGGCTTCTCCTGCTATTCTTACTTTAGTACCGCCTTGACTGTGCCTACTACTTTCCTGATTGATTGCTTTTTCTCGCCAAAATCGTCCCACTCCAAAGTTTTGACTTTTCCCACGCATCTTACCTGAGGCCCGGCCCTTTTTTTTAAATCTTAGTTTTGTATAGTAGTTAGTAAGAAGTTCTTGAGCAACCAATGTAGCGAACACTCGCTTTCAAATAAACTTAGAGCATATTAATTGTGCTCTCATGCACAATTCTCGGTTTTGAAGAAAAATATAATTTTGAAAATATATAATCCTACTCTTGAAATGAACGATTTCAGAGTTATATAATTATACAAAAAACATACCTACTTCAAGTAACTAAGAATTTTGTTAGAGCTTCCAGAAAAATATGGATTTCATTGAATATTCCGATCCTCTCAAACATTTTTGGGGGAAAAGGGTTCAAAATGGAATTTCTGACAACCAATTACAATGAATATAGTATGAGTCCGATCAACAAAGAGAATTGCTCAGTGAAAGCATAATTCCCCGTTCCATAAGCACGGCTGTAACCTGTTCCTTCGCCAAAATATTTGGTGTCATTTATGTTGACGGCTTCGCAAAACCTCAAGTTAATATTATTTCGTGCAACATATTTTCGTTGTCATTCTATTTTAACCGAAATTTTCAGTTTAAAATATTTATTTCAAATACTGGTCGAATTTGTTGTCACATATATTTCTTTCTATACAATTAGGTGCAATTAAAAATATATCTAGGTATTTAAAAAAATCCAATGTGAATATCTACATACCGATATTGGCAAAAAAAATCAATCTGAAAGATTGAACTGACTGCAATAAAGCTAGTAACAAAAGAGCAAATCTCAGTATTGATTTGAAACAATCATCTCGAATGTGACAATGAACTGAGGAATGTTGATCATCAATTTATTAGTCAAATTTCGACTCCATTTATGACCAAAGAACGTCGAATTTGTTGTCACATATATTTCTTTCTATACAATTAGGTGCAATTGAAAATATATTTAGGTATTTTAAAAAGTCCATTGTGAATACATACCGATATTGGCAAAAAACATCAGTCTGAAAGATTGAACTAACTGCAATAAAAGTAGTAACAAAAGAGCAAATCTCAGTATTGATTTGAAACAATCACTCTCGAATATGACAATGAACTAAGGAATGTTGATCAAAAATTTATTAGTCAAATTTGGACTCCATTTATGACCAAAGAACGTCTGTATGGATGTATATGAAAAACATTCAATAAATTGAGAGAAAAATTGAAGATTCAACAAATGAAGACCATCAGTATATCAGGTCATGACAGTTTTAATGGTGCGCGCAAAGCCACTTGAAATTAAGACATTTGTAATTGTTGGCGCATGAACGATTGTTATGTTCGAATAGTCATCAATATCCATCATAGATTTATTTACAATGCCGCGAGCAAGAAGATTGAATAGATCATTACGAAGCAGTAATGAAATCAGACTGCAGAATATTGGGAATCCATCCACTGCAGATGAAAAAAATACCGGAGAAGACTTTCATCAAATAATGGGTTAGTGTTAGCTACTGAACATAATATATGACATAGAATGATGAATGATATAGAATTTCACATACAATAAAACTTCTTCAAGTGAACTTCTAGAAACACGACAAGTTATCACTTTTCTTTATACGCTTTTTCTTTACCAAAAATATCTTCAGCTCAGCTTGAATAATAATAATAATAATAATGTTTATTCATAAATAGCGAAAAAAAAATACAGACCTTCTATTGTTACAAAATAAAATGATTCTAAAAAAACTTAGGAGAATAAGGCTTAGAATAAACAAAAATCAACCGAAGCTGATATTATCAGCTTGTGTGTGGTGACATGTTATCATGGTGTGATGTTGACGAATCAAATGAAATACAGTTAAATTAATGGAGAAGAAAACAAGAGTAAAAATAAGATTACAGGTTAACCAGCAGAATGTGTTTTCAACTATCTTGAGAGTTTTAGATATAGCTTAATTATAAAAAGAGCAGTAGACCAAAGTTGGGACAGAAATGGCTTAAGAAAAGTGTAAACAATATCATTTTTTGCCAAGGAAATAATACTAAATGAAATACCAAAAATTCCATAAAAATAAAGTTACTATTCAGGTTATCAAAACGAATAAGATTGAGAGTATTTATTCAGCAGAATATA